GTAATAAAAAAGACGCAGAGAGCTCTGATCATGAGAGGTCACCACACCACAACAGGTTGACCTTGCTATAAAAATGGAGCCCTGTGAGGACTAGGTGACTATCCACACCATTAATCGTTCCTACAAGTTTTTTCTTCAATAAAACCCACACGAATCTCGCTAGCCAAGGCGGCCGTTGTAGCGTAACGCGTATGCCGCATGACCCATGCCGAACCTTGCCATGTTTCGGGAACCAAGACGAAAAAGTGGAAAAAAATTGTTATGGCAAGGAGCGACATTAATCCCGCCCCCCCCCCCCCCCCCCCCGCCTCCCCTTCCTCCTCCTCCTCCTCCTCCTCCTCCTCCTCCTCCTCTTCCCTGCTGATCGCTTGTCTACCAACGTGCCAGTCACCTTCCTTGCAGCAGGATCAAGAGCGGCCAACCATGCCCTGGGCTCTGTTCTGCATGCCTAAGACCTTCGGGGAGAGGCATGCTCTTCATTCATGGGGGAACTGCAATCAGAACTCTCGTCCTCAGGAGAAGACCGTCAACACTGAGGTGCTCAGTACGGTGAGTCTTGCTCAAGGGGCCATGACCTCGTTCTCTCTGCTGCTGCTGTCACTTGTACTCCCTTCCTCCTCCTCCTCCTCCTCCTCCTCCTCCTGCTCCTGCTCCTGCTCCTCTTCCTGCTCCTGCTCCTGCTCCTCCTCCTCCTCCTCGCCTCTGCTTGATAGGAAACCTTCTTCTACAAAGTCAGTAACTCCTCTTGAAATGCGCAATCGCCTCCTATCTGTCGTTCGATTCGTCATTCCGGATGTTTGATTGCTCTTGTTCATGCAGCAGAGCCACAGAGAGACAGAGATAGGGTTGAAGAACAGCATGGTGGGAAGTGGCTGGGGTTTCAATCAGCCGCTCATGGTGAGGGAGGAGGAGGACTCTTGACGTGTCTTGCGTGCTCACGTTCCTTTCTAAATGTGCAGGGAACTTCATTCAGACCGATCTCTATCATCAGATCGGAATGAAACTTCTGTACATTGCTGAGTTGCCATTGGGTAGTAGTGCTTGTTTGCACTGCCGACGTGGGATGTAGGTGAAAGGGAGTCTAACGTGTGTGTTGGATTTGTGGAATTGGGCTTTTTGATTTCATCATTTACAACCAAACTACTTCAA